AGTTTGACTAGTTGCTTTCTTATGATGTGACCGATTTTCACCACTTTTCCATTTTTTCATATTAATCTTCCTTAATATTTGGAGCAATTTAGTTTCACAAAGCTACTGAGAGCTGAATTTCAAAAATAACACACAGCTTTGGTTTAACAAAAGTATGGCTACTTCAGTTTTACAGATTACTTCAATTACATCCATTCTTAACATCAATTGCATCTACACTTAATATCAGACTACAGTTAAAATTATTCAGCGCAGGTGCATCATGTTGTCACTGAAGAGATCTGATAGCTTCATATTTCTTCTCTACGCTGCAATAAATTCAGTTAATTAGCCATTCGTACCCCAGATAGATTCTCAAACTGAGTCAGTTGTGAACTGTCAAAATGAATAGTGCTGATTTCAAATATTCTGTCACTCCCTGCTCCTGACAGGGGCAATTTCTGTCATTTTTTTTGTACTGTAGCTGTAACTGAATTTCAAAGGTTTCTTGAAGGTAATATGGCAATCAATGACTGTATGATCTGCATGTTTCCTAGTTTGCTTTCTCTCTGTATTTATCTGTAAACATATATATATGTAACTTTTAGCAAAGCTACTGATGGCATTATATGGTAATCATATTCACACATTCCAAGAAAGCATGCTTACATGTAAAGATGAAGATTTGCATTGCTGATGTTTTGTTAGATGGAATCTCATATATAAGGCAGTGAATTATGGCTTTGTATTGCACGTAGACTTACAGACAAACATGCTGATGCTTAGCTTTAAGACTTAGTTGATAATCAAAAGCAGAAATTCACAACAAATTTTAGTTTTTTAATAAAATCTAACACTGTGTGTCTCAATGGAAAATGTGTTCAAGAGAGGAAAGGCTTCAACCAAGTCATTAATCTTACAGCATTCTAAGTTTGCTAAAAATGTCATAATATCCCAGAATCATAGTTTCCTTAGAGTTGAAAGGGTCCTCTGAAGTTTATGTAAGCCAACTGCCCTACAATGAACAGGGATACCACAGCTAGCTTCTCAGCAACTTGGAAAGCGTTTGGTTAAACAACAGTCATAGTAATGAGAGTTTAAAATTTTAGTTTATGATATGTTTAGTTTTTAGAATATAAGAAATAAATGTAACAATTTGTTTGAAATAAAGCATTAATTATGTAAGTACTATTGAATTGCGACACAATGACATCAACAAAATTATTTCACTTCTTTGGTCTATTCTACTGTAAAAATACACTGGAATAAATCACTGTGCAACTAAAAGGCATCATGAGTCTGAGTATTGTGACATCACTTAAGGTTATTTATTTTGGCTTTTAGAGCTCTTGTTTTCTTTTCTCATTTTTAATTTTATTTGTTATTTTACTGGAGTTTATGTTAAAACTGGTAAGTTCCCTTTTATGTAACGTGTCTCTTAAACCTTCTGCGTGCATAACTTCTGGATTGTCAGAGCAAATGGAAATGAACATTCAGTTTCTTTTTTAAGCTGAAAAAAGTGAAAGAAATCGTGTTGTGGCTTTTTCCAAAGATATGTTTAATAGTTCAGTCACACATATTACAGAAGCCCATAACTTGTAATGTATTGCTGTATTGTGCCAGAAACAAGTTTTTAATGGGAATTGGAGAAAATAGGCTTGCATATAATGTAGTGCAAATATCTTATAAAAGTAGGGTTAGTTATGCCCAGGACATTAATAATCAGAATAATTGGTACTGGGAATAATCATAACACGCTTTCTAATTTCAGATTGCCATGGATGCCCTTTTCTTTCGTTTATCATTATTCCAGGAAATTATAGAAAGTAATCATTTTTTGTAAGAATCAGAGGAAATTCTATTCCATGTTGTTTCCACATTTTCGTTACCAAAAGCAATGGAATCAAATGATTTATTTCATAGTGGGTAATAAGCAAGCTCCAATTTGCAGATACCTTTGAAAACATTACTTCAGCACCCCGTGGGATGCTCCTCTGACTTTATGTTTGAAAAGAGTTTTTATATTGTCATGCACAGAACATGTGTTGAAAGAGCCTGAGAACCAAAGGTTTAATGAAAGCCAGGGGCTAGAAGCTGAGGCTAAACAAATTCAGTGTAAAAATTAATAGAATATGCTTGAAAAATTTTACAAAATGTGGTTTTTCTGCCCACCACTCAAAAAAGAAAGGCTGGTTTGAGCAGCCTGAGGAAGACTGACATTTTTGGACACTACGCTTAAGTGGTCACCACAGCACTTTTGGGCCACATAATGTACAACCATGGATTTGTTAGTGCAAAGATAGTAATTATGCAATTTAAATAAAAGGTGAGGCCATGTGGCACAATCCAGGGGGCTTTGTTTTGTGTTTATGGAAGTCTTAATTTTAATTCTGCTTGGGCTTGTTTGTTTTCAACAGGTCTCATGTACACTATGTGAGGATTGAATGAAGGGAATCAAAGACTATCGTAGGTTCTGACTGATATTGCTGACACTATTATTGCAAATATCAGTAGAAAGGCTTATTATCAAGGATTTGACTGACTAAGCCTTTCTCTTGAGTGCACCTATGTCTCCTGTGTCGTAGCTTTGGCCCCAGACAGTACATGGTCCTACCAACAGCACAGTGCACATGGAGCAAAGTTCAGTTATTTAAAGGGACATCATCAACTTGTCATCAACTTTAGAGTGCTCCAGTGGATACCTTTGTCCTTGCTTTTATTGGAAATTGAAAGTATCATAATGGAAAGGGTATACACACCCCTTAATTTTGAGCTTTGACTTCTGTACATATGTACAAGCCTGTGAATAGTTGATTTAACTTTTTTTTATGCTTGATGCTCCTTCTAGCTCATCATGTAGCAACAGCAAAGTGCAGAGAAATGGACAAAGCTTGGCAAAAGTGGAGAGAGGCAGGGTGATGGCACTTTGCTCCTGTTCTTACTTAAGATGCATCGCACTAACAGGGTGCAAACAATCTGCACTCCTCTACTTGCTCAGAGCTGAGGAGCTCCAACCCAGAAGTTGACAAGTGTCCCTTTAAGTAGTGCATGTAGTAGTAGTGGTTTAGCTGTGTAGCTTTTCTTTATAATCCTTAAATTGCGTTTGTATCATGTCTTAAATTCCAAAGATTTTGAAATCATCATATAACTTAATAGCAAGTGATGAATAGAGTTTCTACTATTTTTATAATGAAGATTGAAAATAGTCTCAATTTCAAAGGAATTCAAAGTGAAGTTAATCTAGGAGCTTTTCTTACTGAATGCTTGCTTACTGCAATCTGTTTTAAAAATATATAGTCACAACATGTCACTATACACGCTGTCCTTTTGAGGTAGAAAGCACTGTTTCACAAGGTGTATAATCACAAAGCTTCAGTGTGTAAGAACTTCATCCTCTATTTTAACTGCAGTTCTCCACCAGTTTTAAGGTACATATAGTTTTTGTGAAGGTTCCACCGAACTGTCTATTCTGTTGTCTAGTCCAGCTGTTTCTACTGCTCACTTATGCTCTTCCATACAGTAAAATGTTTATTACATGCTGTCCCACGGTGGTTGTACTGCAATGCCTATTTCTACTGATCTTATGACAATTTCCTCGTTATGGCAGCACTCTTTCTAACATCTGAGATGTTTGGATCCCATAATTGCTTTTTTAAAGCATGTGATTTGTTTCATTTAACACAATGAGCTAAATAACGTAAAAAGTGTTTTTTGCATGATCTAGCAAAAGTTTCCTTGCACTGATGTTGTTATATACCAGGTGCCAAGGTGTGGTCATCTTGCTACATGAAGCATGCTTTCTCCAAGCATTTTACTTTGAATTGTACTACAATATTAACTTGTATAGTTAATATGTAACCTTCAATAGAGGCACCTAGTACTACCTCTCAAATCATTAAGAAAAACATAATTGAAAATGGGAAAAATGTAATGCTGAATAGTATGACGGAAAATGTTATGAAAATAGTTTGTGTTTTGTATGAAACTGTGTCCAGAAATGCATTGAAGGACATTAGTGGAAATGTCCAGACACTTGGGTTGGATTAAGTTTGTAATGTCTAGGCTTTGCAGCTAATGAAGTGGCCTGACTTGTCAAGGTAGTTATAGACTGTCAGGAAGAATAATGGGGTCTTAAAATCAGTGAATAAGCATTTGTTTATGTGTCTATAGTGGTGCAATTTCAAAAATGATAAGCTAGTCTCTGTAGATAGTTTTAGGACAAAGGTGAGGTAAACATTGCATCTTGGTATCTATTTCTGTGGTTCTATCTGGGCAGACCAAGAAGAGTACATACATTCAGTGCTTCAATGCAGGAAAAGAAAAGAATGCTTAGTCTTGGGGGTTGGGAGGTGTGGAAGAAAAAAATATATATATACACACACACACATATGTGCGAGGCAATTTATAGAACAATCAAGACTGATAAATATTTTCAATTCCTGTGTTTGAAGCTGTTGAAGCTTATAGGTATGGTGTTTCTTGTTTTTATCCCTTTCTGCTTGATCTAATAGTGAATTTATAATGCTGTTAATGCTTGTTCCAATTGGTGTTAGTGTAACAATGGAAATACTTGGACTTCTTTGCTAGATCAAACAGAAAGAAATGGATTTTTTAATCATGTTACAGGGTGATACACGTTTCTAACTACAAGCAATAAAGACTAGGGAACAGTTCATAAAAATTGAGTAGCATCTTCCTCAACTGGGCATGTTTACATTTGTATAGCTCTTTAAATCTTTAAGCAGCATGGAAGTAAAGAATTAGATTAGAAGTAGCAGAGCTGTATCTAATCCTGATGCCTTTTTTTCCAAGTTCACAAAAGCATGTGCTGTTCATTAAAATCCTGTTGTATGAACATATGAGAAATTACATATAGGAGAACTGTTACTATAAAGCTACTATAATTTTTCAGCTGGAACAGTATGGTGCCTACTATTGAAAGTGTCACTTTTCTGCCTTATCATCCATTGTGTTATACAAAAGTACAGATAAAAGTGAGCCTGATTTGTTCTCCTTTGTAGAGCCAGGCCGAGGCCCATTACAAAGGAAGTAAGCATGCCAAGAAGGTGAAAGCACTAGAGGCAACGAAAAATAAGCCAAAAGTTGGGTCTTCCAAGGACAGCGCAAAGGCTAACCCAAGCTGCTCCACGCCAGTCACAACCAACATCTCTGACAAATCAGGTCAATTAAAGCTTTTTGTTCTATCCATTCTTTTTCTCCTTTTGTAGATGTGTATATGAAAGACTCTTATTGCATGATGCTGATCCATATCTTGTCTTTTCCAAACTGTTTGTTATATTTTCTTGTATGGAATTGATTAGTTTTGATGTTATAAAGGCTTTTTTCCCCCCCTCCCATCTGAATGTTGACATTGGTGAGTTAATGTTCTCTTAGCAAATTTACTCATATAAACTGTTATTCATGTGGCAGTAGTAATGGATGTGGGTGGGTGTCAAGTCTGAGATGTGTGTATTTAGCTGAGGCACAAGAAATTTCTCTAAAAAAAATTTTCCCTTCTGAATAAAATAATACTGCTCCTGTAAGAAACACACCCACAGAAAGGTAGTGAAGCCTCATGACACAGCTATTTCCTGATTTCCACAGCTCGTTAGTGTTTTAACATCTTTTTTTTTTTTTTTTCCCCTCATGTCAGTAATCTGAGGAAGATCAGTAACACTAATTGCAGTGCAGTTGTCTGAGCCACTTTCAGCTCTGTCAGTGTTGTGTTACCAGGTGAAATAAGAGAATTTCCTGAACTGGCTGAGAGTCTGAAATATTGCACTAGTCATCCAGGAAAGAACACCTAATGTGGGTTAACCAACTGTTGGTCTGATCAGCTGGTTGTGTGTGATAAGCTTGCTGCTGCTTTGATAGCCACTTATCCATTTATCTTTGACAGAGCTGAACGTGACTCAGATTCCATAGAATAATTGGCAGAAGTAGATCTCTATCAAAACTAAAGAAATGGGGGGAAAAAACACCCAAATTTCCATAACATGGCTATTTGTTTCCTTGTTTTGTCCATACCAGCAAAACCGTCTTTGGGTCCTTAGCAGTGCTGATGGGTGCCAAATTTTGGGATGATTCACCCAGAAAATCACGCTTTAGATTTGAGTGAGTTAACTTGAATCCAGTAATATGTCCAAGGAAACAAGCCAAGTTACTGTAAAACAGTAGCAAGCTACTGTCTGCTTTAAATAAAATGTGCATTATCGAATGGGAAGTGATTTAAAATATTTGTTAAATATTTTACTGTCTGTACCACTAAAAATAGCTTCAGTTAGAACAGTTTACTATTCCAGGTATAAACTGTAAAATCTCAGGCAACTATTTAGGAAGATTTCCATTAAAACTTCAGAGGAATTAACGTGTTGCAATATATGCTGTGAGCACATAGCTGTGCACTGTGCTGCCCTACTTGTGTCAAGTAGCACAATTTGCATCCTTGTTACCAACCCCCTTGTCTTCCTTTCCAAATATTTTCTGTAAGTCTAGCACTGTCTTACCTGTCTCTTAGGCCAGACTGCAAGGTCTGTCCCTGACTTAATTTTCTTCTCTGTGGAACGTATCTGAAGTCTTTCATATCTTTGTGTTCACTTTTTGAGAGGAGTTAAAATAATGTAGCCAACAATAAAGGAAACCTGTTCCTGATATTGCAGTATTTTCCCAGTTTTGACATTATGTTGTTTTATGCTATTAATTACTTGACAGAAATCAAACAGATTGCCATCTGTTGAATTATACAACTGCAAGTGTTTCTACATTCAAAATAAATCATAGTGGCCATTCAGTGTAATGCTGTCTTCCAGCCTGGGGAAGGGCAGAATGCTTGAAGGAACTATATCCCATCACTGCTGGAACTGTTGGTTAACCACTGTAAGGATTGTTAGGTTCCAGAGAAATATCCCTAAAAAAAAAAAAAAAAGAAAAAGAAAAAAAAAGAAAAGAAAAAAAAATCATTCTTGGTGTCCTTTCCTTGAGTATGGAAGGACAGGATGAGAAACTAAGAAGGGAAGAAAGTTTTAAGTTTGTGTTCCTTTGTTACGTGTTGCACTTGCGCTGGTATTTATGAAGAATGGGTAGGGAGTAGCATAGTGCATTGACAAGTTCAGTTTACTATTATGTTATGTATGTCTGCTAATAAAAGGACACAACAGGCATGACTCACAGCTTTTCTGATGTGCTGTCATTTTGAGTGACATGTCGATGTCTGCCCTGGAGCTCTCTAGACAGAACAGTTGCTATATGTTGAGCTGAAATGTCAAATTTGCTGCAAAGCTACATCTTTTGTGGGTCAGACACAACTGTTTTGGATGTCATGCTATTTTTCAGAAGTAGTAGATCCAGAAAAATAACTTCACCATTAGCTCGGTTTGTGTGATGAATCTATCAGCTGTTCCTTTCAATGTGGGAAGTGTGGCTGGTGGTAGAGCTACAACAGTTAAATTAATATTTAAGGTGTTTTGAGGGGTTCTGAGGAGGTTGTGGCTTCCTGCAGATAGAACTTGCCTCAGCTGGGTGTACTTTGGAACCTGGTCTGAGTATGATGCCCATTTGTATGAGAGTCGTGGTCTCTGCTGCTCTTAACAACACAACATGATTTAAATAACTTTTGTAAATTGATCATCAGCAACCATGTAATGACAAAGCTGTAGTACACTGATGCTGAGTTTACTGCATCCTCAGGTAAGTGTGTATGTTTATGGTTTGGACTGTACTGCTTGTGACATTGCCAACTTTTTTGTTGGTACTTTAAGGTATAGTTACAAGGCAGCAGCATTAATAGGACTGGGGGCTGCTCTTTCATGTTGGGCAAAGATTACCTTTCTTCCCTGTGGAACCCCAGGATTTCAGGATGGCTTCACACAGAAGTGTGCATGTATGAGGAAGACCCCATTAAGTGATTAATGAAGTCCTTTAGACTGAAAGATATTTATTGTATTTCTGTGTTGTACTCAGACACATGAAATTTATATATGCATGTATATGTATTTCCAGAATGCACAGCTTTAGAAAAGGGCACAGGCAGCAACAAATACGTAGCAGAGTTTAGAATATGCTGAGTACATTTTAAATGTGGCTCTGAGGATGTAGCAGGAGCTGGGGTCCGTGATCCCAGCATAGCATCATCTGCTGTGAGCAGATATGCTTACAGTGAAATGTCCGTCAGGAATATATATGGTAATAAATGGACTGAAATGTCACTATTTACTTATCAAACAAATACAAAGTCTTTGATCATACTTCTAAATCAAAATAAATTTTTCAAAGTGAAGCAGACAGATGATGCATTATTACTTTCTTTGCATTTTGCTTTGATATAAAACTCAGAAAATAAATACAACTGTTTTAACCTTCTCAAAAGTCAAAACCAGGATAGAAAAATAAGACCTTTTTCTGTCTTTCAGCCATTCTAGATATAATCTCTTTCCCATGCGTCAGTGAGAGCTGTTTTTGAAATGATATAGATGCACATTTCAAGTTCAGTTCTCATTCAAGTAAGATCTTCAGGCTCTGCTACCTGGGTTGTGTTACAATTGATTCCTTTGGATGGTCTTTGAAAAATCCTTTTTGTTCAGCTTGTATATCTGCAGTATTAGGCATGCAACCAGGCTGAATTCTGGACCTGTTTCAAATTCTGGCTTCTCTCACTATAGCTTTGTTCTGTAAGTGCATCTCAGAGCAGCTCAGTGTCAAGTTCGTGGTGTTGTGACAAAGCATGAGCGGTCCTGTGCTGATGTGCAGTGTATGGTGAGGACAGCAGTGATGTCGTGTAACTGGAATGCTGCTACTTGATACAGCTGGGGCTCTTAGGAATTACCCTAGTTATTTCAGCCTGCTGGAGTTGCCCGGTGAGTTAGCTTTAGTTTTGAAAACATCCTAGATCTGTTGATCAACAGAAGTGCTACTTTGTCTTGTAGACATATAGTAATAAGTTGGCTTATATTAGATAGGACTGGCAGCTCCAAGCTTTATTAAAACAGTTGACCTTGAAGGCTTGTCTAAGGTTTATTAATTCATTGAGGGCTTCTCTGTGGGAGCTTTGACAATAAAACTGATTTTTTTTCCCTTTTATTCCTAATAGTAGAGTGCAACATATTAAATCGCATTTACTCAGGCATATTACAGTGGATTGGATTTCCCCAGTGTCCCAATTACCAGTGCTGTTTATTCATCAGCTGCAAATGAGGTGTAATGTCCCAAGGGAGGCTTTAGTTCATATTTTACAAGTCCACCATCAGGACACCCCCTTAGTCATGTTGCTTGAGTTGCTTATTTTAAAGTTCTTCCTGCCAATGCTCAAATTTTTAACTTTTCTGTGTGCTTCTCTGTGCTTTAAGTAGTCATTCTGCAATTTGATGTTGATTAACTCCTGAGAGCTCCTGGAGGACTCAAGGTCTTTCTTCACTCAGCCTGTCATAATGTTAACTCACCCAGATCTAAATCCCCACCTCAACTGAAAATGACTACGGGTGCCATTAATAGAAAAAATAAGCTCTGTGACTGACACAACTGATGAGTTGTTGCAGTGCCTGTTCAAATTGAAAGAAGTCAATTTTTTCTTTCTTCAGCCATTATATCAATCAGGATGCGTAAGCTGGAGATCGCTTTGTGGAAACTGTAAGCCTTTTCTCCTGCCATAATGTAAAAGTAGAAGTTCTGCATTAAAAAATACATTGTAAGATTAAATAAGACTTTTTTGGAGTACTTGGATGTGTACTAGAACATTCATGTGACCTTTATCAATAATGCAATGCACTGTTATTACTTCTTCCAGTTATAAAAATTGGAATTTTGTTGAGTAGTTTCTTAATTGGCATTCTTAAAATCATACATGTTTTCCTTACTTTGGGTAGAGAAAAAGACATTAGGCTAAACGAGACTGATTCTGCTAATGTATCTGGACTTTGAGGCACAGACTCTTGGCTACTGTTTTTTTAGTAATATATCTACAGTCACTTAAGGAATTCATTTATATATATTGAATCCCTCAGCAGCTCTTTTCTTCTTACATCAGACATCTGTTTTTCTTGTTTGTTTCTGTTAATGATGCCTGATGAATATCCAAAGATTATTTTGAATGGTAATGCAATGATAAATGAATATAGAATGTCACAACTTACTAGCTTATGATAGAACAAATTTGTATATTTCCACAGAGAACATAATGCCATAGAGAT